AGAAGTTTAATTTGCATATTTTTGGTCTTCCATGCCTCTTAACATGTTTAGTTTGTTCTCTAGTTTCTTGTTTTTAACATATGGAAAACAGTTCTTGTCTATTAATCTGTTTCAATGTCTTCATTTATTAATTCAGTTATTGTGTTATTTCTGGCTCGGTTTCAATTGGCTGGTTTCCCCCTTGTTATAGGTTTTATTCTCTGCTTCTTTGCATCCCTGGTTATGTTTTATTATAAGCCAGGCATTGTGAATTACACTTCACTGGGTGTTTTATTTTGTATTCTTACAAATATCCTTGAGCTTCATTCTGCAACACAGTTAAGTTGCCTGGAAACAACTGTGCTCTACTTGGGCCTTGCTTTTTAGATTTGTGAGTTGGAATCAGAGCCAGGTTTAGTGTGGGGTTAATTCTACCACCCTTAAGAGTCTTCTTGCTCTCTCTCCAATGCTACATGAATTATGAGGTTTTCCACTAGGGCTGTTGAAGGCAGACACTGTTTTTAGCTCTAAACATTGCTTCCTCTAATCCTTTTGGGTAGATCTTTCCCTGGCCTTGGGTAGTTTCCTCACAAGTATGCACTATTCTGTACACAAGATAATTATTTGGTGGGTCGCTCTGCAGACTTCCTCAGTTCTCTTGCTGTGCATCTCTCTCTTCTCAGGAATTCTCCCCTGTGAACTCTAGTCACCTTGACTTCCCTTGACTCCTAAACCCTATCTCTGAACTCAGGAGACCACCAGGTCCTGATGGGATGACCCTTCCTGGAGGCTTGGACTTTTTCCAGATAGTAAGTCAGGATGATTTTGTTTCCCATCTCTAAGAGATCATTGTCCTTTGCTGCCTGAAGTTCAGCGTCTTATTATTTCTTAGATATGTAAGAAAGATAGCCTAGCAAGACAAAACACTTCTTTACTGAGGCCAAACAGCATGCAAAAAAATGTGGCCCCATCCTCATCTGATGTCACAAGTTGAGCACTTTCACCACCATCCTGCCAGACAAGGCCTTCTCCCTGTCCCACAGTATTACTGGGCTACTGCCGCTCCACCCAGGCAGAAGTGAAGCCTGGAGGGGAGCTGAGAAAGGCCCCTAGATTTCCCTCTACACTTCACAGCAACAATGCAGTGTCCCCATCCCACCACCCCGTGCAGCCAAGAGGAGGCTTTATACAAGAGATTTAACACACACCCTGAATTGCATAACCATTTTCTGGAAATGTCCAGGGTATAGCCAAAATCACTTGTCATACCAAGAATGAGGAAATTTTCAATTTGAGAAAAGACAAAGGACACTGACACAGATGACAGATGCTGCAATTATATGATAAAGATTTTCAAGCAGCCACCATAAAAATATTTCAGCAATTATAAACACACTTGAAACAATAAAAAGAAAATCTCATTAAGAAAACAGAGGGTGAAGGCAGAGACAAATGTATTTGAAAAAATAAATAAATTTAAAAAAAAGAAAACAAAATTTTAAAAAAGCAAATGCAAATTTTAGAACTGAAATACACAACAGCCAAAATAAAAATTTTGAATGGAGAGGCACAAAAGCAGAATGAAGAGGGAAGAGGAAAGAATCAACGACCCTGAAGACAAAACAACAGCAATTGCCCAATCTGAACAACAGAGAGTAAGCAGACTATAAAAAAATGAACAGAGCCTCAGGAGTGTGTGGGACCATAACAAAAGATCTAACATTTGTGCCAACTATGTCCCAGGAGGAGGATGTGGGTGCAGTGGAAGAAACATTCAAAGAAACAAGAAAATAATATATCCCAAAGAACAGGAAAAAACTTTTGCAAGTTATATATCTAATAGGGGACTTGTATCTAAAATCTATAAAGAACTACCACATTCAATAAAAACACAAGTAACTCAATTTTTTTAAATGGACAAAGGTCCTTGAAAGACATTTCTTCAAAGTACATACACAAATGGCCAATAAGCATATGAAAAGATGTTCAACATCACTAGTCAATAGAGAAATGCAAATCAAAACCACAAGATAGCACTTGACACACTAAAACAGCTATCACCAAAGGACAAATGTCAATAAGGATGTGGAGAAAACCTCATACATGGCTGGTGGGAATGTAGAATGCTACAGTCACTGTGGAAAACAGTCTGGCCTTGGTTCCTGACAAAGTTCCTAAATCCTTTGTAATTTCCTGGGTGACAGTAATGTTTTTTGTTCTAATGAGGTGACTCTGCATGGGCTTCTGGATGGATCTGGTCACCAGAAAGACCAAGCCATTAATTAGAAGCTTTGAACTTTCAGCACACAGCCACCTCCCGCCCCCACTGCCACATCCTTCAGAGGAGAGGAGCTAGAAATAGTTATTGATTGATCAGTCGATCATGCCTGTGATGGAGCCTCCATAAAATTCCAAAAGTACGGGGTCTGGATAACTTCCATCAGGGTTGGTGAACACAGGGAGGTGCTGGGAAAGTGATGCCCAGAGAGGGCATGGAAGGTCCACAGCCCTCCTCACATGGCTCCCCCTAGGCATCTCTTCCATCTGGACATTCATCTATATCTCATCACATCCTTTTATAATAAAGTGGTAACTGTTTTCCTGAGTTCTGTGACCTGCTCTAACAAATTAATGGAACTCAGTGAGGATATCTGTGGGAATTTCTGATTTACAACCGGTCAGAAGCACAGCTGACAACCCAGCGTGGGTCTGGTATTTGAAATGGGGGGACAGCAGACTTGTGGGACTGAGCCTATAACCTGTGGGATCTGATGCTATATCCAGGCAGTTCAGAACTGAGTTAACTGTAAGACACCATGCTGGTGCTGAAGAATTGCTTGGTGGGGGAAACCCCTCCCCCATACCTGGTGTCATCTGGTTGTGAGTGTGGTAGCAGTGAGAGTAAAGGAGAAACAAGACAAAACTGGGTTTTTCCTAACCAAAATGGTAAAAAGATGCTTGGAATATTAGGAAGGAAGAAAGAGCAATTGAAAGAGCAAAACTGGGTAAACAATAGGCTTTTGTTCGTGAGTTTTCCTTATCATTCTGATGCTTGAAGCAGGAATTATAACATTTGTCTAATGTGGTCCTCAATGTAGGTAAAGGATTTTTAAAAACAATTAGAAATAGGAATTTAAAGGGAGGTAAGGTTTCTACACATCATTTGACTGGTAAAAAGGCAACATCAGTAGACTGGTGATAAATGATATATGCATAATGTAATGTCTAGAGCAAATACTAAAATATCTGTACAAAGAGGCTTAATAAAAATAAAATTTCTAGAGTCAAAAAGAGCAAGGTATAGCCCTGACTGGCATAGCTCAGTTGGTTGGAGCACTGTCCCACAGAACAAAAGGTCGCTGGTTCAATTCCCAGTCAAGGCACATGCCTGAGTTGTGGGTATGGTCCCGTCAGGGTACATATGAGAGGCAACCAATTGATGTTTCAATTTTCTTTCTTCCTTCTTTCCCCTCTCTCTAAAAATAAATAAATAAAATCTACAAACAAACAAACAAACAAGGTTTGCCCATTTTCCTCTACTTTCCAGTTGTGTGACTGCAGTCAAGTAACTACAACTTGACTGCACATTATTTTTGATTAGATTAGATGGTAAGCCCTATCTCCTTAATTCATTTATTTTTAATAGTTTTCATAAATATTTAAACTACTCTTATACTAAGATATTATGTAAAGTTCCTATCACAGTGATTGGTATATACCACATACTCATTAAGTTAAAACTATAATTATTTATTAGGGAGATCTGGACAGCTTCATGCAAAAAAAAAAAAAAAAAAGAAACTTGACCACCAACTTACACCATACATCAAAATAAACTCAAGATGGATAAAAGACTCAAATATAAGACATGACACCATAAAAGTCCTAGCAGAGAACATAGGAAGGAAAATTTCAGATATTCTACGCAGCAATATTTTCACCAATATGTCCCATAGAGCGAGGGGTATAAAGGAAAGAATAAACAAATAGGACTACATCAAATTAAAAAGCTTCTGCACAGCTAAAGAAAACATTAGCAAAATGAAAAGGGAAACAACTGTATGGGAAAATATATTTGTCAATGGTACCTCGGACAGGGTTTGATCTCCAAAATACATCAAGAACTCACACAACTTCACACCAGGAAGACAAGGAATCCCATTAAAAAATGGGCAAAGGAGCTGAACAGACATTTCTCCAAGGAGGACATTCAGAGGGCCCACAGACATATGAAAGGATGCTCAGCATCACTAGCCATCAGAGAGACACAAATTAAAACCACAATGAGATACCACTTCACACCGGTCAGAATGGCCATCATAAACCAATCAACAAACAAGTACTGGCAAGGTTGTGGAGAAAAGGGAACCCTAGTACACTGTTAGTGGGAATGCAGACTGGTGCAGCCACTGTGGAAAACAGTATGGAATTTCCTCAGAAAACGAATAATGGAACTCCCTTTTGATTGGGCATTTCTGCTGCTGGGATTATAGCCCAAGAACCCTGAAACGTATGCACCCCTGTGTTTATAGCAGCATTATTTACAATAGCCAAGTGCTGGAAACAGCCTAAGTGCCCACTGGTAAATGAGTGAATCAAAAAACTGTGGTACATTTACACAATGGAATACTACACAGCAGAAAGAAAGAAGGAATTCCTACGCTTTGTGACAAAATAGATGGAACTGTAGAGTATTTTAAGTGAAGTAAGCCAGGCGGTGAAAGACAAATGCCCTATAATCTCACCTGTAAGTGGAACCTAATCAACAAAACAAACAAGAGAACAAAACAGAACAAGAGGCATGGAAATAAAGAACAAACTGACAGTGACCAGAGGGGAGGGGGAAAGTGGGTATTGGGGAAAAGAAGGGGAAGGGTCAAGTCAAGGAACATGCATAAAGGACCCACAGACAAAGATAATGGGGGGTGAGGGGTAGGGAGGTAAGAATAATGGGGGAAAAAACAGGGACATCTGTAATTGAACGACAATTTTAAAAAAAGATAGCTAGAAAAATAAAAAAATAAAACTGTAATTATTTATTATTGGCAAATAAAGAAGTTAGGGTTGGTCCTTCCTTAAAAACAACAAAAAAACCCTTGTTTTTCATTCAGGGTTAAGAGTGAGTCTCCTCCAGCTGACCTGACTTACACTGTGGCTGGTGAGGCCGGGGGAAGCTCAGGTGGCAGCTCTCTTTAAATGCGACCACACAGAGCGCTTCATTCCCTGGGCTGCTCTCACCTCCTCCCAGTCCAGTTTGATGTCCAGAACCTCATCTTCTGGCTCCGGATCTTTTCTCAAGGCCCCCTGGGGCGAGGCGACCACAATGGGCAGAGGGCCGCATTCCTCCCGGAACTCCACAACATGGAGACTCTTCTTGTCAGCCAGCTGCTGGTGGGTTTCCTGGGCAAGACCGAATGGAGAACAGCAGTTAGGTCTCTGAGGCACAACTGTAATTCAAAAAGCAGGATCTGCCTTCACCCAGAGGGAAGTCGGCAGTGACAGCACTGTACCACTTAAGGGACTTAAATACTCTTTCGGTTGTTTCTGGGGTATTTGCCACCTGCTATAGATGGAATCATCTCAGCCCTGCCTCTCCACCCCCAACTGGGGTAGAGGAAGGACCTTGGAGCTTGGCTTTCCAAGACCTCTCAATCATGTACCATGTTGTGCCCAAAATCAACCTGAATCTCATCAAGCCCCAGCCTAGCTCCCAATTCACAGGACACAAAGAGAAGACATGACGGGTCCATAGACATGTAACCAGCACCAGACCGGGAAACCACAGGACGAACAACCTGGTTTCTTCAACAAAACAAATGCAAGAAAAAAGAGCGGACCCTACACATTAGAAGTGACTTAAAAGACATAGCAAAAACTTACAATGTACTGACCTATCTGCAATCTGAGTCAAACAAATCGTATAAAAAAATTTGTTTAATCTAACAAATGGACATTTCTATGAACACTGACGAGATGCATGACAATAATAAATTCCTGGTAATTCTTTAGGTAAGAAAATAAATAGTATCGTGGGGTACTTTCAAATCCTTATCTCTCAGAGATACGTATTTATGGATGAAATACAATGTCGTCTGAGATTTGGTTCAAAATAACTGGAGCTGGGTCAGGGTGGTAGTGAGAAACAAAACTGACCACAAGCTGCTGCTCCCTGTTGACAGTGGATGAGAGTGCCAGGGGACTCATGACAGAAAGTAGCCATCAATGTCTGGAATAAAAAAATACATTTAGTAGATGGCTTATTAAAATACCTGATATGTTCAATGTCATGTTTCCAGACTCTGTCCACCTTGCAGTATTCTAACTCTATACACGTTTGAAATTAGAAAAGAGGTGAGCTGTTTCATAAAAACAAAATAATTTAAATCAGTGTCTTATAATCAATAGCATGTTACTCAAATTGGGGGCATTTTTTCCTCTTGAACACCACATTAAATAATTCAACTTTTTTATAGCTGATGGCATTTGAGATGGTTTGTGTGATACACAGTAGTTACATTAGAAGATTCAAAGTACTAACATAAAACAAAAATATCACATAAGTTAACAAGTACACTTGATTATAAACATGACCTATCTAAAACCAATCTTAGTTATATCAAACAAACCTCTAACAATAAATTTAAATTTAGAAATATGTACATTTGAAGGATGTTCTGGATAGCACCAACACACACAAACACACATGCAGCTGTTCAAAAAAGATCTTTTTACACAAAGCTTTTTCTTTTCATTAATTTTCCTATTTTAAACAGAGAGGGCTACAATTATTCCATAGGTCACTTAATTCAGAAGCAGGCATTAAACTCTCTAAATGTCAGGAAGTGTCAAAATCCTCAATAACATAGGACAGAAAAAGGAGGCTCTTGAACCTGGTTGTCTTTTCTGCTCCTCCAGCTCTGCGAAGATCTACCCCTCCTTTCAAGGGACAGTCAGCCCTTCCTCTGCACTGGGAGCAGAGTGACTGCGAGCCCACCAGGGCCGAGGGGGCAGGGGGGCAGCAGCCCAGGGCTCCCATTTGTGTGGAGAAAAAACCTGGCATATCAGTGCTCATGGTTCCTATCTCAGGTATTTGTCTGAACGACCTATGCAGGTACCATGAAAACTGCTTCTACTGATGACAGCTCTCGTGAATAGAGTGGGGCTGAGGGGCTTCGCCTCAGGCCAAACAAGAAGAACTAAATTAGGAAATGTATTTCTTTCTTTTTATTTTAATTTGTGTATTGTTGGAGATTTAGAACAAGCATGTATTCTTCCCACACTAAAATACAGATTGTAATTACTGGCTCTTAAAAATACTTAATTTTTCAAGTTCAAAACATCCATGAAGTATTTTTTAAAGGCTAATCTTCATGAATTAACTCTTCAGCTGGATTAACTATCTGATTAGACAGCAAAGAACCCCCGTGTCCTCGGGCAGCCCCAGGGAGGGTTACCTGGCGAGAGAGCCCATGGAAGAGTCCCCTGGTGAGGTTGAGCATGTTGAGGGACCCCGAGACCTTGGCATACATGTCTTTGATGCCAATGAGACGGCAAATGGTGATGATGGCCCGATGACAGTGGAGTCCATAACCTAGAAAAGGGAAAAATCAGGGTGAGTCACCCTGCTGGCTTTGACAGGGCTCTAGACTCTGGGTTTAGGGGACTCTGGGTCACAGTCTGGCTTCATCACTTCCCAGCTGGGTGACCCTTGACAACTAACTTAATTTCCCAGAAGACCCCTATCTTATTTAAATGAGATGTTATTTGGATTAAAGAAATTATAATAGATTTCCTGAGCACATGGGTAAAAAAAAAAGAGAAAAAAAGAAAAAAAAGAAAGAACAAGGTTGTTATGAGATTAACTGAACTGCCTAAAAGTCCTCAGCACCCTGCTAAGAACTAAGGATTCAGGGACACATCTGCTGTCGCCCATGACTGCTTGGCTGCATTGGGCAGAGATGCCCACTTTCTCCTCCTGGAGACTCTTTTGGCTTTGCTAACACTCTCCCCTGATGTTCTCCTGTCCCGTCCTTTTCACTTCCTTGCTGGCCTTCCCTCCAGCCACATGCCCTACTCATGTCTACTAATACCTCCTCCAGGAAGAGCTTTAAAAGCACAAACCGAACACATCATTTCCCCTGTAAAGGCCTCACTTCCCATTGTTCTCTGAATTAAAATAAAGTAAAATTAAATAAAAATAAAGAACTCCACCCCACAAAGCCCTCTATGACCTGACATCTTGCAGACCTCATGGAGAGACTCTGTCCTTCTGGCTCCACCTTGGGGACTCTGCACTTGGTATTTCCCTGCCTGTTCTCCCCTTACAGCTATTTCTCACTTACAAGGTCTCATTCAAATACCTCCCCCTCAGAGAGGCTTTAACCACAAAATTGGAGGTGTCACCCTTCTGTCCCCAAGGCCAGATCCCCCCTGCCACCCCCCCTGCAAACCAGCATCCTGACTGCTGTTTCAGGCCCTCAGCAGACCCTGTCTATCCAATGGTCCCCTCAGTAGAATGTGGGCTCCATGAGAGCCAGATAAGGTTTGATTACTGCTCTGTCCCCGGAGCCTAGATCAGACACTGGCAAATGCAGGTGAGAGTGAATGAGAGGAAAGAGCCTCAAGTTTACATGCTAACACTCTGATTAGACAGACATGAAACTCAGCAACCTCCCCACTCAAAGGCATAGCATTTTTCTTGGTGATTCAATATATGTATGTAAAAACTATATTTGGATACACGTATGTAACACATTCTTACCTAAAACTGTCCTTTCCATTTGAAAGAGAAACTTGTGGACTCTACAGCTGCACCAGATCATTCGAGAACTGAGGGCTTTAGGGAGTGGCTAAAGACAGGTTAACAATGGGGTGGTTTGTTGTCCTGTGTGGTTATGCACACACAGAACATATGTCCATGTGTGAACACTGCATACAGATACTGGTCTGTATAGATGCACACAGTCCTGGAGAGGCGCACATGCAAAAGGGTGCAAGGCAGCTGTTTGGAGGGCCTCAGTGGCAGACCCTGCGCTGCCCTGCCACTGCTCACTGGATGACCCAGGTATGATGGGGAGCACTCAAGGGAAGGCATGTACGCTGCCCAGCACCTGGACCGCATGGGACACTGCACCAACGGCAGCCAGTGCTTTGCAGAACTTATCAACAATGTTATGTAAGGGCTTACTGTATGTACTTTGATTGTGAAGACTTCTAGGTAAGGACTATGTAAAAAAAAGCATTTGTTAAATGAAAGCTAACTTTGCGCATGTGAGTGTGTGTGCGTTATATGGGAAATGCTTTGTAGTGCTGTATGAGGAATTCAATCCTGTCCTGAAGCCAAGGCAGAAGTACCCAACTGTTAAGTACGCTTGGGAACGCTGCATTCTTGACCCCCCTCTGGGAGACACACATTGTACAGCAGTGCATTAAAGACTGCAACATTCACAAAGATACACAAACATCTTTTTGATTTTCCTTAATCCAGTTTTCCTACTTGGGGCTCTTTTTGAAGTAACTCCTATTAATATCTTCTCACAGTAATAGTGACGCACAGGAACATACTTTAGGAAAAGCCTTCTATAATATCATGTCTTTTTAGCTTCAAAATCAGAATATTTTTAACCCCAATGAACAGGTAATAGGTTAAACTATATATTTGATAGAAACCTGAAAAATACAGCGTAAGGAGACAGAGAAGAAAAAAACGGTTAACTCCTACAATTAAATTAAAATAGGGGCAGTCTTTCAAAAATCATTTAGGTATAAAAATCATTCAGCCTTCTTAAAACCTAACTTAGGCCTTTCTGTTTGGCATTTTCAAAAATGAGCTCAAGTAAAAGGGAGCAAAATAAAGGACATAATAGAACCACTCTAACGGCTCTGCTTTATCTTCAAAAAATTTTAAGAGTTTTTTAGTTACCTCTGGGTTGCTTCTTCATCTTGATATGTGTTCTTTTAAATGTCAAGGAGATATCATGGAATACTGGACAGTAAAAACACAAAGATGAACAAGATTAGGTGTATAGCTTTAATGCCCCCGTAAATACCACAGAGCAACTAATAAGATCCTAAGCGGCCAACACCCAGTGGCCAAGGATGGGTGACAAAGTCTGATTTCACTCATCACCACCTTCTCAGGAGAGAAAGTTTATGTCTACATTTTATATGTTTATTTTAAGAACGTAACAACAAGCAGAGGAAAACAAAGCTACCGATACTGCTACACATAAGCAAGGACAACTCTGCAAATTTTAAAAAAAAAGATTAACACTTACTTGTATGGTCTTCATATCGTTCTATATAGTGCAAATAGTGAACTGCTCTGTTCTTTGCCTGAAAGAAGAACAATGTTTTTCTTAAATGTACTGTTGGAATTTACATTTTCTCAGAGATTTCAAAAAATACCTTTCACAGAATATTTTATGGAAAATTTCAAATATACATAACAATTTCAGTATATACTCCTAAAAGCTAAGGATTTAATAAAAGAAATCTTAACGATAATATCACTATTACACCTCAAAAAATTAACAATTCCTCAGCGTCCTTGAACATTGTTAGTGCGAGAAACTTTCCCAGTTGTCTTACAATTTTGATGACAATCACAAGTCTGATGAAAATGATGCAAAAGAACACATGTATTTCAGAAATTGCTATTTGTGAGAGACAGGAAGCCTCAGGGAATGGTTCTTATTTTATTTTTGTGTGTAGTTCCCACAGTATCTAGCACAGAGCCTATTGATCTCTTACTGTGAACAAAGAAAAAATGTTACGTACTTTTCTGAAAGCGTCCAACCGTTCAGTGGCTTTCCCAACGGCAAAACCTTTAAAAGAAAAAGCCAAAATATGAAAAGGGGCATACATCTGGTACATAATGTCTCTCATCGCATTTCAAGTTTCAGCTCCCACAATATTTCATGGCACTTCATTCTTCTTCTGCCGACAGAAAACCTGCTACCCAAAACGAAGGACAAAGCATGAAACTAAAGAGATCTGCTTATGCTTTGGGGCATTTTGGAAATAGTACATTTGATTATCTATGAAATCTATAACATTACCTTTTATAAATCTCTACATAAAACCACATATGCTCGATAAAAAATAAAAACTAACCATGCCCTAAATTAATAAGGCACGTGGTTTTGAATTTTTTAAAAATAACCAGAAATGTTGGGAAAACATACATTGATATAGAGTAATACTATGATTTCACTGGAACTTTCAAATGCAATGCAGAATTCAATGAACTAGGAGATAAAATCAATGATTCTTGAGTGTGTGAGTGCTTAAAAACCCACGAAGTGAGGTTTATCACAAGTTACCAGAAATGCCCCCACTGTCTGCTGTCACCATTATTTATCCTGAAGAATGTATTTGACAGTCATTCACAGGAAAGCAACATAAGACAATATTGCTCCATGAGAGATAAAGGCATCTGAGTACTTTGGACAAATGGAGTCCAAGTCCTAATTTAAACACAACAAATTAAACCATATAGTCTTAGAGAAAAATATGAGTGAATGTGTTTACAACCTTCAAATGAAGGCTTTGTAAGTGTAAAACCAGGAAACCAAACACAAAAATAGAAGTAAAAAAAGACTGATAAACTCGCTACATAAAGGTTTAAAAAACTTCTGTGGATTTAAAACTTACGTATGGGAAAAATAAAAGAAACTAAATCAAAATATATGATAGCAAAGGGCCGATGCCTTTAACTTACAAAGAGCAATGAAAAACGGGCAAAGCAAATGAACTGACTGATCTCAACAATGGCCAACAAACATGTAAAATGGACTCCAAACTCTGAAGGTAAAAAAAGGGCAAATGAAAGTAAAGAGACAAGTTTCACTATGACACTGACAATCAGTAAAATCTGACTATATCCAGGGCTGGCAAGGGTGTGAGGATAGAGATGAACATAAATTGATGCAAACTTCTGGGAGGGTTCTGGCAATATTTATCAACATTCTAAGTGCATATAACTTTGAGGCAGCAATTTCAGTGTAAGAAATTTCCTCTATTGACATTCTTGCCAAAGTACAACAAATTACATATGCAATAAGCTGCATTTTTAAAAAAAGAACTACAAAATTGGAAACAACAAATATTCCTCAATAGGAAAAAAGTAACAAAAATTAAATTTTCCTATACAGTGGAACACTATGCAATCAGTACAAGGAATGAGGGGGGATCTATTTATGCTAATACAGCAAGATCTTTGGGTATTGCTAAGTGAGAAAAGGTACAAAATTATGGATTTACTATGATCCCGTTATGTAAATTTTTATAAGAAGATGTATGAATAAACTGTTTCTGGAAAGATACAAAAATAACTGTTAAGACTGATTTCCTTTGGCAACATACTATCCATATGTAGGACTTATTTTAAAGTGTCAATGTGGTTTAATAGGCAGCTTCTTTCCCTTACACAACCAGGTACACACTTCAAAAATAGATGTTCACTATGAAAACTTACAGAAAAGTATAATGAAGGAAATTTAAATGAGTGGCAAACCTATGAATTAGAGTAAATGTTATTAACTTTTTTGGAGTATATCCTTACAGTCTTCTCTTTGCATATAAACACCCATTAAAAAAATTGGAATTCCATATGGTCTTATATGAAGTTGTGTTTTTTTACTTAGTATTTTTTGTAAGTTTCCATTACTCTTTAGTAGTTACAAGAACATTACAATGTATGGCTATATTCTTTTTTTGTAACTGTGTCCCTGCTATTGAACAAGTAGTGGTTTCTTTCCTCACTTTTCCCTATTATACATAACATGACAGTGTCTTAAGCCTTTTAAAACATCCACTGGTTCTCAAAGAAAAAGGCAGATGTGGGAAAATCTGTTCTTCCTTTTCCAAGGGATTTTATAGGCTGACCACAAGGTTTGTGAGCTTGAACCCTAATTCATTCATCAGTAGAAAAAGTCTAGCCAGCAGCATGAACCCAAGGACTCAAAGCCAAGTGCAGGCCACACCTATCCCCACCACCAGCACCAGCGCCACCAGCGTCACCACATCCCATTCACCTGCAGCTCCTCTGCCATTCCCCACGGCGACCAGGACACGGACTGATTTCTTTCTTCCCTCTTTTGCTGTCATATTGAAAACATTTCTTACCTAAGAGGCAAAATGTTTCATAAACATTACACCTTAAGAAAATTCTGAAGTAGGGAACTGGAATGACCTCCTTACACGGGCATGCACACACACTCACATGCACCCCTGTGGCGAACAGAGACACGTCATCCCTGACCACAAGCACAAACGTGCACTTCCTCCACAGGAAGCCTCTCCCTAGGCTGTTCCTTCAGGAGTAAACTGGAAACAAGGCCCGCTCTTCCTATTTCTGAGGTTTGTAGCAGTTTCACTGAGGTGACTTAAAGGTATTTAAAGGTAACTCAGTGTATCCCATTTTAACAAATGTGTACAAAGGAGAAAGTGCTGATTAAACTTCAACAGAGTTTATAACTGGTGGCTCTAAGACACATCCCAGTATCAGGGATGTTGAAATATGAAAAAATGTGTATTTAGAAATAATAAAATGCAGTATATAGAAAGAATTAGCATAAAACTGGATCTCTACACTAAGGATTAGGCTCACCTGAAAATAAAAAAATATGGAAATACCTGCTTATTATGAACAATAGGAAAAGCTGCATTTTTTCCCCCTTTGGTATATAAAAGGCCAGGAACCATGAAAGTGTCACCTAAATTGTTTACATAGCAGCCCCTTTCCCATAAAATGAAGTTAAAGGAAAAGGGAGCTGGAGTCCATTCCTGTGGATCATCTTATACAAATCACCCAAACATACAAGAATTCTTTAAATAAATTAACTTTCAAAATGTATACACTAGGACCCAAAGACATAAAATACTTGTAAACATATTTTAACTTCTATAACACAATTGGTATTGGAGAAACAATATATAAATTCAATCACAAGCTCAACAAATGATTTCTCCAGTAAACAGCAGTTTACACGGACCGAGCCTGCAGCACCAGCTCTCGGGGAAGATGGCTGCTGCAGGGGCTGCCCTGGGGAGTGACTGAAATTTACCTGATACCAGCTTCAGTCTCCAAGGGCTGCCGGGCGATTTCCATCAAGAGCTGCACATTCACAGCAGCTCCACGATCTCCACCCCTGCCCTACGGCTCCTACAGTCTCTGTTCCCTGAACTGATGCCAGATACCACTGGTTCATAATTCAAGGACAGATTGCTAATGCAACTTTGGCTTTAGGAAGGAGGGAAATCGAAATGTAATCACCAAATTCTGCTATAAACATCACCAAAGTTGCCTTGTCACGAGGCCTCAACTGGTAGCCCCTCAAAAGGGTAACAGTCAGGAGAATCAGCACCAGGTGATTGAAACTCAAATTTCATTATTTTCTTACCCAAATCAGCTCTGTATCTTAGGAAACATCATGCATCAAGGCTTTTCCTCACAGTCCTCTTGCCCTTTCTCCACTCCACCTGTCCCAACTCTCCCAACTTCTCCAAAGGCCTAATTTGGTACTGAATTCAGCATGCCTACCTCAAGTATCCTGGTATCAAAATCCTCATATGTTTCTGCAGGAAGAAAAGAAACAGGCATACAGACACATAATCAGTGTACAAAAGCATTTTCAACACAGACACGATCATCGATGTTATGTGAGAAAGAACTCGGCTCTTTTAGTGCCATTTCCCAGGCCATGCCCTGGTCCTCCACCATCACCAGGCTGCTCCAACCGTTAAATTCATAAACTGGGCCACCACCTCCCTGACTGCATCCTCCTACCCCTCCAGCTTCCTTACTCAATGACTCCCCAGGCGATGGCTCTTGGAGCTCCCCAGCACCTCCAGACTCTGGATCACTATTTTCCCTTCCCTCTCACCCTCTCTGGTCTTTGCAGCCTCTCCCACTCAGCCAGCACCCCACAGTCCATCATTTCCACTGGATCTTGTGAATATCCTCAACTGCCTCACCCTTTCCTCTCCACCATACTGTCAAGGCCTGAATCAATGCAGCTGCCTGGCCCCACCTGGCCTGCTGGGTGCTGCTGGAGAGAAGTCAAAGCACAGTACACACATGGGCCCCTACACATTCACGGTCTCTAGCTCAATCAAGAGCTCCCTGCCACCTGTCAGCCTTTGTGTACCTTTATTTAGGCCTCGCTCCACTCACCACACAGCCTCAAATATCGTGTTCGTAACTTTCTACTATAGAAAATTCCAATCATATAAAAAGCAGAATAGCAGAATGACAGCTTGGGTACTCATTAGCCAGTTTCAAGACGTATCAACTCATGGTCGGTCTTCTTTCTTCTGAACAGTTCAGTTCCCACTCCACTGGAAGCCAGTCCCAAATGCCCAACTTTTCATCAAAATATTCTGGTGGCCACGCTCATCAGTGCCCCATCCTCCCTTCAGCAGATGGCCCCTCCTCCTCACAGTCTAGCTGAAGCGACCAGACAGGCATCCTTCACACACCCTGTCCCACACACATTTCCACTACCAACAACGAAGGCTCACCCGAATCTGTCACGAGTTAACCCACTTATCTCTACTCCAAAACTGGGCCCTCATTAGGGACTTAGTTGACTATTTTTCCCCCTCTTCCTCCCATATCTTTCTCCTCCCCACTGAAGCATTTTATGCAGTTCTAAGCATATTCACCACAGTCTCTCCATTTCAACCTCTGCTCTTCTCCTTAAGCCAAACTTAAGGAAGCAGCCACATTCATATCTATTTCTTCATCTCCACCTCAAGAATGAATTTTCAAGATGCCTCTTACTTCTCTACATACACAGGTAGGTGCGATGAGGACTTTTTTTTCTAATTAGGCCTGATAAGAGTTACCAATTTTCCATGTGTGCTTTTATGAGGTTTAATGACAACTATCTGGTTTATCCTCTGTTACGGAAACAGCTCTCATGCCATGCTGCTCCACAGGCACCCCATGACCTGTTAAGTTTTGGAAAATGCTTGTGTAGCTCCATAACGCACACCACCACACTACGGTTCTGAGAAGCCACACAAGAACAATGTCAGAACCCAGGGCACTGCATCCTGTTCGTGAAATACTTCTTGGTTACAGGCCTCTAATGTTCCATAAAACACAGCAGGGTAATAATATAAAATTATTTCAATGATGTTCAAATCCCTTTTTGGGAAATAAAATCTAAACAGGTTAAGTAAATAAAATTGTATTAAGGAATTCTAGAACTATAAATACTCTGTCACAAAGGTAAGCAAAACCAAGACTCTGCTACCTCCATTGGGACCAGGGTCGGGGGGTCCAAGACTGACACCTCCCCACGAGTTTCCACTCCAGCCTCGTTCCCGCTTAACCTTCATCTTCCTCTTCCGGTCCCATTCTTCTCTCTGCTGGACCATGTCAGCTTTTACCTTCTCCTGCTCTTCTTTGCTTCTTTGGCTAATGGTCTGCACAGCTCCATCCCTCAGAAGAGGGACATTCAGACCAGGCCATAGGAAGCCACTATGCCCTGAAGATTTAAAAACATACATAAATAAAATTGTTTTAAAGCATTCATTTCTTGAGTCTTAAAATGCCAGGCAATGGGTGTACAGATGACACTGCTTGTAGGTGCTTAAGCTGACATAATCACTTGGCAAGCCACTCCTGGCACATCTATAAAAATTTTCAATGTATCGACCTTAATAGCTACTAATCCCATTTCATGGTATTGCCTGAAGAAATACTCCCACACAGGTAGGAGGCCGATGTGTGCCTGGACAAGGATGTCCACTGAAGTGATATTTGCAAAGGCAAAAAATGGAAACAATGTGCTACGTGTCCAGCACAAATGGAGGGGTTCAATGAACCATCGCATATCCAACCTATGACATCTTATGCACTAAACTGAAGTAATGAGGTAGTTCCATAGGTTGTGATGTGAAACAATTTCCAAAACCTCTGAGTGAAAAATGTAAATTATAAAACAGTATGTAACACATAATTTAACTATTTTTAAAAAGAAAAAGGTATGTATTTCTTTTAGGATTTTTAGGTATATAAAAGCATTAAAAAATGTCACAAGGAAACACCAAAATGTGATCAGTGGTTTCCTTGGGGGTGGCAACTGGAAAGGGAGTATCGAGAGGGCACTAGGAGGACTTAGGTTTCTCCTACAGTCTGATTTTTTTACTGAGAAGTATACATGTACGATGGTTGTAATTTTTTAAACGTTAAAAATAAAATAAAATACAAGCTAAGTCAGGAAAAAACACCCAAGTGGACATGAGTAACTAGAAGAACAGTGAAAGTGTTTTTTTCACAACCAAAAGGCTATTACTATCAACAATAATTTGTTGGCAACCACAGTACAAAATGCCAATTCAAGTACATCATACTATTTTTATTCTTCAAAAAACACAAGAATAAACAATCATGTGTTCCTGGGGTTGGCAAACTAAGGGCCATGGGCTGAATCCAGCCCACCACTTAAAAGTTTTATTGGAACAAGTGATGTATTGTCAATGACTGTTTCTGTGCCCCAACAGCAGAGCTGAATGGTTCTAACAGAGACCATGTGGTTCACAAAGCTGAAACTATTTACTAGCCCTTCACAGAGACAGTTTGCCAACTCTCCATTTATTCCATCTCTTATCTGAATCATTAGCTGAGGACAGGAACCATCAAAGCAAATGCCACACGGGCACTGAAGGCTTGTTGAATGAACGAATGAATGAATGAATGAATGAATCCCTTTCTATGAAATTTTTCTCCCCCAGAATCCTGGAGCAGTAAGTAAGCAGCAGATTCTAATGTCCTTAAAGAGAAATGCTTTAATGCTCCTAGACTGTAAAAATATCTATAAAATGGGGGGGGGGGGAGTACATCAGCTCTTTTTTAAGTGAGCTTACCTTCACCGATGATCTGACCCCTGTTCAAATCCTTTCTTCTCTTTTTCTTAGTCCTCTTGCCTCTTCCTTTTCTTGCTCCAGCACCAGTCTCTGCTAAAGCACCTTTCCATAGCTCATCTGCTGTCACTGTGATGAAATAGGTCTTTATTTATTTATGTCTTAAAATTTTTCAGCAATGATCCACGGTCTCCCATTGAATAAAAAAAGCCAGAAGATGCCAGCTTCATGTGCACCATTACAGCAATGAAAGCAACATTAAATCATTCTTTACACATCATCACACGGTTACATTTGGAAAGCCCAAGAGGAGACAATTCTGCCACTTTCAAATACAGCCTTCCTCCACAAAAGGCAGCCAGCATTTAAATCCCACTCACAAACTACATACACACACACACACACACACACACACAAATCCCACTCACCAGCAGTTTGTTTCCCAGACATTTAATCAAGTATGTTATAGGTCTCTTCCCTGCCCTCTTGCCTCCATTATAACCATTGAGATAATCAGTAACTATCCTTATTAAATGCAGGTTTTTTAGCCCAAATAAGAATCAATGTGTCAATCTGAACCCATAAATGTTAATAATTTGGGTTTTTTTGCTCTATTCTTCTGTGAATGCCCTAAATATCACCGTATATCCTTCAAAATCAAATGCCCAAATTCACCTTCAACTCCGATTAAAGTCTAATCAATCCACAGGAACGAATGAGTAAGTGGGAGCATGGTAGTTAATTCTTGCATGCGAGTGTGTCTTTCTTGGATCATGCTTGCCTTGCCCTCACTGGGTGGCTCAGTTGGTTGGAATGTTGTCTCATACACTAAAATGTTGCCAGTTCGATTCCTGGTCAAGGTACATACCAAAGTTTTGGGTTTGATAACTGGCCAGGGCATGTACAGGAGGCAACTGATCAATATTTCTCTCACATCAATGTTTCTCTCTCTTTCCCCGCTCCAAAATCAATAAACATATCCTCAGGTGAGGATAAAAAAAAATCATGCTTGTCTTTTACTTACGTATAGACCCTGACACTGCTGACTTATTTCCACCTGTGAATTTCTAGGATGCCAACATCTTTTCCTACCATACCTTTGAATCAGTATTTTCCCCTTTGTGCTCGTGGAATGTTCAGATTCTATACTTCTGAATTTTATTGGTGGAGCTACACCAATTATTAGATTTATATTTTCTCTTCCTAAGGACTTCCAGCCTTTCCCAGTATCACCAATTGATTGTACAGACACAAGACTGTTCCATTATCAATTTATTTACTGAATAATCCAGAGCCATATAAATGTATTACTAGTAAAGAAATCTAAGCTGCATATAGCTGTATACCTGAAGTACTAAACATATTCCAGAAGACACGTGAGCATCTTCATTCTCCTTCTCTTATGGGTCCATCGGGTTTAAAAGTTCTCCCTGCTTGCTTCATGAAAGGCCTTACCTTGACCCTCAGGGTAGACAACATGGAAAGGGAAAAATGTTTTGGGTTTATAGCATGTTAAATGCTTTTACCTACACAGTATACTGTTTTTCAAAATACACACATATTATTACAGCTGATCTTCATAACTGAAGGTCAAAAAAGTGAGACTCCATGCCACATGCCACTTTGTGTATCTGTGATCAGAGCAAAGGTTTAGGTTGAGCTCAAACTTTAGGATAACATTAATTCACTTAAAAGAACCACAGATTCAAAATAAAATTACCAACCTCAGCCCTGCCTGGTGTGGCTACGAAATGAATGGTCACCAGTTTGATTATAGGCCAGAGAGGGCACATGCCTGGGTTGTGGGAAAGGTTGCTGATTGGGGGCATGCGAGAGACAACCTATCGATGATTCTCTCACACATTGATGTTTCCCTCTTTCTTCCTCCCTTCCCTTCTCTAAAAATAAATAAAACCTTTAAAAAATAATTACCAACTTCCGACTACACTCTAAAAATTTGATTTTATTTCCTGACTGCTTAAAAATTATGGTATCTGCAAATGCCATATGAACCTGAAAGTTCACAATGAGAGCATTTCTAATGGAGTCATGTTAAGAGGTCAATTGATTACAGAACTTTTCATCACTTAGAATCAGAACAAGCAAATCAGAATGTTATTCTATTTTAATAAGAACTTGATATTTAGACAAACATGTAGAAAACTGAAGTTTAGTTCATTTTTTTATGTAAGGGAAAAATAAAATTTCTAACTATATTGCAAAAAAACAAGTCATATGTCAACTTTTGAATAGCATCATGCTACTTAAAATGGCTTTAAGATTGTAACAGAAAGCTATTTTTTAAATCTTGAAAACAGACAGTATGAATATAAAAAAAATAATAGTCCCATCACTGTTAGATTAGAATGTATATTCGTTTTCTTTATTCATGCATGTGTACATAAAAAAAGTGTATGCATTTTTGTTTTAGACAAAACTGAAATAACGTATGTACCATTTTGTATCCTGTTTTTTTACATATTACATTGTCTTATCTCATATTAATATTATTCATGAACATAATTAAAAAAATTTTTAAATCCTCCTGTGAGGATACGTCTATTGATTTGTTTTTTGTTTTTTTTTTTAGAGAAAAGGGGGGTGGGAGAGACAGAGAGAGAAAAAGAAAGAAAGAAACATCAATTGGTTGCCTCCTGAACACACTCCAACTGGGGATCAAACCTGCAACCTAGGTACGTAGCTTTGTGCCCTACCAGGAATAGAACCTGCAACCTTTTGTGTTTGAGATGATGCTCCAACAAACTGAGCCACCTGGCGAGGGCATGAACATAATTTTTTGATGGCTGTAAGGTGAGTTAGGTTGTTTTGACAGAGATTTTATTATTTTAATATCAGGACATACTGGTTTAAGATTCTAATTAACCTAAAATTCCATTTGGAGTAAATTTACTATTATTTCAATGCTTTCTGGCATTTTTTGGAAAGAGCAGAAGTAGGTTAATATATCTACTCCTGTTAACTGCCATAATATAAAATAACCGCCATATAATAAAATATTAAATATTCTTAGGAAATCTCAGTGAATTTTGAAAAAAAGGTTTTTTGTATCTTGGAGGAGATTTGGAAAACCAGAGTATTGCCTACTGAAACAGCAAAAACTAGCCCCCTGCTGAGTCCATCCCCTTGAAGCTAATCTCGATATGATTTGGAAGCAATAAACTCATAAGGATACAAAGTCCCATAACTCAGAAAGAATGTAGGTTAATACAGAAGCAGAGGCTGGTGGGACAATAGTGCAGGGACGGGGTCTAAGAGGGCAAGAGGGACCTCTAAAACAAGAGGACGTAAGAGAAAGGGCCGTTTAGGGAAGGACAAAGACTATTTTAAAAAATTTCCAAGGCCTCCGAGTCTGATATAACCTCTGAAACAAAGTCAGCTCTTAGAAACACTTGGGGCTAGGGGCACCAAGAGATTCCAACTCCATACACCTCTCTTTTCTCTTTGCACCCAAATCCACAGATACCCTGAAGCCTATGCTACTTGTCATGTCTCTACTATCTAGTCCTCCTTCCTGCATTGCTATACAAATGACCTAGTTATATGAGACCTCCACATTACAGTGAACTAGACCCACACAGAGAAATACTCAACCATCATAACACTGCACTGGAGGAGTCTATGAACTAATGTGGAAAAATGTATAGTATATTGCTGCATAAAAAGATGGCAAACCCTGGATTTCAGGGCAGTAGGGTTACAGGTGCTTTTTTTTAATTTTCTGTATTTACCAAATAGTTTTAAGTAAATTGGCTTTATAATTCTAGTTTTTAAAATTTTGCCTAATGCTGAGTTGTAACTTCAATCTCCACTTATTTCAGTTCAGATTGGATTCTTTCAGATTCTACCATAAGTAGCAGAGTTAACAAAATGTCTACTTTTAAAACGAACTTTTCCTGATTAGATGTCCTATCTCAACTACTGCACAACTGAAAACAGACTCTTGCGTATATTCTTGGTGTGAATCTAAATCGGCCTCAGATACCCCAAATAAGGCCATTAAAGTAAGCCAGTAGTCCCCAAAGTATAATACAAATACTCCGACCGGTGGCATGTGAGATCATTCTACAAGGTACATGAAGAAACATTATTTCAATTGTACATTACGTACTTAACAGTAAAGTGTTAATTCATTTAAGGAAGAACAACAATCAGAAATAATAGGATATAAAAGCACCTTTTATTTTCCTGTTTCATGAAATGGGAAGCTTGTAGCCATTTAGTGAAGACTACGTACATTTAGTGAAGAAACTATAGGATCTATGCTGTTGGCCCATCAAGTTTCTGGGAGAAGAAATCCAGCATTGTGTCTGTAGCGCACGGGTCAAGCTGCTGAAATGACAATTGTCTCTGGTTCCTGGAGATGACAAAGGGCCTGTAGGTAGATGGAATAAAACTTTGAGTTAGATGCTCCATGGATGTGAAGAAGCACTGCCAGCACCAAATAATCACTCCTAATAAAAGTAAGTCACTAAAATGTCTTATTTTGAGGACAATGCTGCTTTTAAAACTAAAACTAAACTTTGACCTGATAGCCAAAATGGCCATTCTAGTTAGAGAAGTTACAGTTCATCCACACAATGGCCAGGGCTGTCCTTAGAAGGAGGCAGACCTGCCCACACAGCAGGGTTGCTACACTGCAGGATAGGACCCCTTGCATGGCACTATTTACTCCCAGCAAATGGCGCCCTCTGCTGTGCACAGCCTGACAATGGAAAATCCCAGGTGGAAAGCGAAGACCTGGTTAGATCAGCAAGGTGCAGAACAATGTGTAGAGCATCCTGCCCCTCTTGTTTAAAAAATAAGGAGTGGGGTGTGAATATATTTTACAGACCAACTCCTGAAGCATATATAAGAAGGTAACAGTGGTTGCCTTTGGGGAAGAAAACAGATACATTTGAGGTTGGAGATGAGACGTTGGCTTTTTGGGGGGGAATTTTTAAAAATATGTATATATCACTTTAAAAAGTGTTTTTAGACAGCCATGTCTTAGAGGCAAGTATTTTATCAATGTCATGGATGGTGGTGTTCTGTGAGGAAGATGGCAGTAGTGAAAGTTATCAGTGGACTCAAGGAAATGGAAATACTGATTGGAAGAAGTGTACATGCTTGAGCTTTTGCATTTCAGTGGAAAACCTAGTGACTATAAGACAAGTAGAGAAAAAAAGGTTATTTAAGGGTACTGGGCTTAAACAGGAAGGCAAAGAGTGACAGTAGCTACCCTCCAGTCTGAAAAGTTATAGAGAAGAACACAGGAACGACTGCTTCATCCCACAGAGGGTCAAACATCAGAATTATTTTAGTGGCAATGGAAAAGAATCTGGTTGAGCATATGAGGAAAATTTATACTATGACTGCAATAAACTGTCAAAATATTTCCACTGTGAACAGACATTGAAAAAATAAAGGAATAATCTCCTTTAGTAACTAAAAATCATTTCATCCAACCCCTTCATTTCACAAGAAACTTAGGTCTACAAGGTAAAAGATTTGCCAGAAGTCATTAGACAAGTTAGTAGATGAGACTTAAACACCACTTTCAATCCCAAATGAATTACTCGATGGCATAAAGGTGGAAGCTGGCACAAATTACATTGTGAGGTAGTTCACTTAGTGAATTACTCAAAAAAAAAAAGTAAATAGAAAATAATGGCTTTTCATTTTAAATAAATTTAGGGTTTCAATAATCATTCTAAATCTCATTCTGTTGGACACATTTTTTGTTTTTCTTGTAATCTCCTCAATCTACAGCCAAGTATCGACTGAACATGGATTTTATCTTGCAGTCTTTAGTACTGCAATCTGATATACTTCAAGTGTAAAAATCACTACCATCAGATTTAGTACTTTAATCTTTTTTCAAAACACAGAAATACTATTCACAACTAATAATGTATTAATAATGTAATAATTAATGTAATAATGTAATTTAGGGTAAACCAATTTACCCTAAAAAGGCCCAATTGTCAAAAGTAGAAAGAATCCAATTTTAGAGTTTAGAATTAACCTCTTCATACACAATGGCTACAACTAAGTGTACTTAGATTGTGTTGTGATTTTTAAAACAAAAGACAGCAGGAGCTCCTGCTAAGTCACATTCTCAAGCTCAGTTACAGATAAGTATCCACTGATGATCACTGATCACTTTTGTTCTGATTCTTTGACTTCTTTTTAATTTCAAAGCATGATGTCCCCATCTCAGGAAAACAACCACCATAAGTCCATAGAAGGCCAAGCCCAGGAAGCCCCCTTGGGGAGACCTCTTCAAAGACACAGAGTGTATCCTTAAAAGTCGCACTTCATCGTCTAATAGCTTTCACCATGAAGAATTTCTTCCTTTAAACTAGGTTTCTTCTATTAAATGAAGCTGGTTAACCAGTGACATTTAAAGAGATTTTTAAAAAGTTATGGCTATGCTGCTAACAAATCTGTTGCAAACATCACAATAGGTACAAACTAAACAGAGTGACTTTTTAAATCAAGGCAGTTATTAACCGTAGGAAAAAGAAAATGTTAAAGAGAAAAATGTAATGACAGAATACTAACTAGCTCAGCTGTGATAATAATATACACATAACCTTAATAATGAAAACACCATCCATAGATTCCATCAAAATTGTGCATACAACTATTTTGGGAAAAAGCAGGGATGGAGGTATAAGAGCACTTCAATTAGCATAACACTGGGTGGGGGGCACCCAGCGCAATGTACAGATCATGTACCGTAAATATGTATACTGGAAACCTGTATGATCATATTAACCAACATCCCCCCAACAAATTTAATGACTAAAAAATTAGCATCACAATGTTAATAGAGACAAAAACAACATGCACAATCTACCCAAAAATATAACCAGAAGAAAGCTGAAAGAACTGAAAGTATCTGACATGACGGAAGATGAGAAGGAGTAGGAAAGGGAACTGGCTTTGAGATATAAACCTTTTAGTATTCTGTAGAAATATGGTATTTTAAGAAACGTTACAACAATCTTCAAAGCAGGGACTATTGTCCCTATTTTACAGACGTGGAAACTGAGGGGTGACATTTGCCCTTGTTTGAAAAGGAAGAAAGTGCTGGATCAGAGAGTTGGGCCGTCCTTCTGCCCATCAGCACTCTCCTGCACTCAGGGCCTTCTGCAGGTTATCCCCTCAGCCGAGGGTGCTCCTCTCTGACCTTCCTCACGTCAGTTCAGGCTGGGGACACTGCCTGGCTCATAGTAAAGGGCAAAACAAGTAGTTTATGAATGAATGAATCACACTACCAACAAATAAATAAAGGGAGGAGCCCAGGTCCATCAGATTCCTCTGCTGGACCTCCCGAGCAAGGTATACGTGCATCTCGACAGATGGGCTTACCAATGAAAGGGACACTAAAAGGAAAGTCCAGCACACAGAGTTCCAGAAACTTAAGGGCGTAATGAGATTTCAATTCACAGTCCATGTGAAAAAGGCAGGATTAAACTGACCACAGGCACAAGATGGGCTCGGCAAGGCTCAGCTTCCACCCTTTCTGGAGAGAAAGCCCTGCACTATGTCGGTGTAGGAGCAGAGGCCTCTACAAAAACTGAGAGGAAGAGGCATCACTGTATCCCAACAACTCAGGACCCAGTCCTGACCTTGTCCAACTCACTCAGCCTCTCGGTGTTACTTCATCTTCTGTAAAATGGCAATAACAACTTCCTCATAAACACTGGTGTGAGAATTACTCAAGATTACATGTTATAAACCTGACACACAGTAACCATTCAATACATTGTAGCTACTTTTTTTCCCCTCCAAACTATGAGACAAAGTTTATTTAGAAAGTAACAGAGGTAGGGTTATTTAGGAAGTAAGCAGGTAGAGGATATGGGCTCAGGAAACAAGTTACAGAGACAAAGGAAGCAAATTATAGCTATTTTTAAAGCCTTGTACTGTAACAACTGTAATAATATTCTTTAGACCCTACACATTCCAATGATAAAGAATGTGTTTTGTTCATTTACATTTCCAAAAACTACATAAAAGTACTCTTACATTAACTCCTATAAGAGAAAGTATTTGGATAAATGAACCTCACCATTATTGAGAACGGTCTTTAACACCAAAGTAGAAGCTGCTGGAAAGGTGTTTATGTAAAGCTGCCTGGACCGTAAATGACCTGTAAATTAAAACAAACAAACAAAAAAAAAATTAAGATACATTTTTACATGAAAAGGAATTTGAAAAACAGTAAAACCCATGTTAATGTTAATATTAATATCTTTAGATTAAGAATACCAAGACAAGTAAATGACTAATTTCTGGGATCCATGACCACCTGCTCAAGTGGCATCACATCTCCTTCATTCTCACATCCAACCAGTTACCAAGCCCTATAAACTCGCCTCAAAAACTGATCCAACTGTCAGCTGAACCTTCTTATGATCTCACTGCCCCTTCCTCGTTCAGACTTCCTCATCCCTCCGCCACCTGGTAATTAACAACAACCTCCTACCAGCTCTTGCTGCTCCTGGTCGGTCCCCCTGTAACTCATTATCTGCTGTCAGGCTGGCCTTTCTAAAGTAACAGGTCTGGTCACTTTACAGCCCCAGTACATCACCGACTGTCAGCAGGACAAAGCCTAAACTCCTCAGCACAGCCTACAGGGCTGCCACTTGGCCCAGACCTTCCACATCAGCCCCACTCCCTCCTCCCACCCTCTGGACACACCAGACTCACAGTCAGTCTTGAACACACTCTGCTCTTGCATCCTTTTGTGTCTCCAACAAGTTCTCTGCTGTCTCAAACAGCACCTCTTGGTGGCGCCTCCCTGGTTCCCACCGTGCTCCCCACCGGCTTCTGCGACCCTCTCCCCTCCAGGGCGCCCGGCTGTAACTGTGCTGTGCACCATTTCAGAGTTCAGCGCTTCACAACAGCCTCCAACAGCACTAGCCGGCAACTGAGTTTTGAAAAGTGTGCCAAGGCAAATTGATGGGGAGAGAATCATCTTTTCCACAAATGGTGCTGAGACAAGTGAGTATCCACATGCAAAAGAATGAAGTCAGAGCCCTACTTCACATCATACATAAAAATTAATTCCAAATGAATCAAAGACCTAAAGCTAAGGGCAAAACTGTAAAACTCAGAAGAAAACGTAAGGGCAAATCATTATGACCTTGGATTTCGGAATGGTTTCTTTGGTATGACACAAATAGCATAAACAGTAACAAAAGACAAATCAGATTCTGTCAAAATTTAAAACTTTTATACTTCAAACGGCCCTATCAAGAAAATATAAAAAAAACACACATAATGGGACACATTTTTTTGCAAATCACATATCTGACAAGGAACTTGCATCTAGAAAATATAAAAGACTCTTAAAATTCACTAATAAAAAGACAGCCCCATTTTAAAAAGGGCAAAGATTTACGTAAACAGACATTTCTCTAAAGACCATATACAAATGGCCAATAAGCAATAAGAAACGATGCTTATTAGCCATCAAAGAAATGCAAATCAAAATCAGAGTGATACCACTTCACATTCGCTAAGACGACTATACTCAAGAGGACCGACAACAAATGTTGGCAAGGACGTGGAGAAAGTAAGAAGGACGTGGAGAAAGTAAGAACCCTCAGCACCGCTAAATGATAGCTGCCAACAGGCGTGGGGGTGGGAGGACGACAGCCAAACTACTGACACTCAAAACATTCCTCTTTTTAATAATGCCCCTGACCAGCCCGGGATCTAACACGACTGACACTAACCCCATCCTACTCAAGCTGCAGTACGACCCTTCTCCCTTAAGTTTTGCTGGCCGCCACCAACCTCAATCCCCGGGGTCGATAGCGCCGAAGGAACTCGTGAGGCGCGCCCGACGGTAGGGCGACGCTTGCTTGCGGTTCCCAGCCCCTCTCTGCCAAGCACGCACGAGCGGCCTGGTGACCTGGAAGGGACCGTGGACCCTGTCCAGTCCTCCCTCACTTTACAGACTGACCCTGAGACCCAGGGAAGGCTTCGGCGCGCCCAAGGTCACAGCGGCTCACGGCAGGACGAAGCCTGGCGTGAGGGGCCCAGGGTCCGCGCGGGGCTTCCCGCTTTTCTCCACTTGGAAGAGGCCCCCGCCCCACTCGCAGCCCCTGTCCCGCGTGCCGGCTCTCACCCACTGGCGCGCCACACAACGCTGGGAGGCAGCCCGCCGCGCGAACCGCCGCCGCCGCCATGTTGGAGCCCCGACAGCACCTCGTCCAGGCAGCCCTCCCCAGTGCCTGCGCGGACTGCAGCGCGCCGCACCGCGAACCTCTGCTCCCCGCGGCGGAATTCCCGAGGCTACACGACCGCGCCGCTGCGCAGCCCGGGATGGGAAACGGTGCCGACTTGCTGCTCCAGGGCGGAACAAGTCCGGCGCAGCTGCGGACAGCCTGCTAGGGTCCTCGCGTGAGGACCGGGCAGCGCTGTTTAGGCAAGTCGCCGCAGAGGGTTCCGAGTTCTCTCGCGGGTTGGGGTGGGATCAGCCGAGTCTCCAAGGTGACCGGGACGGGCCGGTGACCACCTTCTCCCGCCAGCGCTAGCTGAGCCCGGGGACCCTCCCTTCGTGCGGTTGAGGTACAGACGTCAGGGTAAGGGTCTGAGTGGAGGTCCACGGGGTAAGACGAGGAATGTGGAGAAGTCATTCATACCCACTCCAATAAGGCTCTTAAGTTCACTAGCTTTAATAGGATTGTAAGGTTTGGCCACACACTTCTATCCCACATCTGGTCTACAGTTTTTACTCACCTGGGCAGGGCTTCTTCTGGGCCTGCCAGGATGACCCACGTACTCAGAAGGTGAAAGATACTGACATCTTGCAGGAAGCTAGGAATACTGCTCAGACAGACCTCCAGCTTTTAAGCTTCGTGTAAAATAAATAAAGCTTCATGTAAAATGTTCAAACAGACAGAAAAGCAAGAATAGTTACAAGTTAAGAATCCAAGGTCATCAGGATTGATAGTTCATCTACTACTGTTTTTCCTTTGCTGAACTGAACTGGTTTCACTCCCACCTGTTCTATAATGCATCCCATTTACAAAACAAAACAAAAAAACCTTACAGCATCTCAAATGGCTTCATTTAAAAGAAAAGAGATTGATCACACCTAGTGCTGGCAGGGGTTTGGGAAACAGGCACAGAGATTGTTCAGGCACGGAGGACTGCTGCCTAATTAAGTCATGTATGGGAGGGTGCCTGAAAAGTTGGCCCCCAAAACCTCCTTCTGTTCCTGTAGTTGCATGTCATCCTTTGCCAAGTAATGGAGTTTATGTCCTCTACCTTGAATCCAGGCTGACCTACCACTACTTTGATGAACTGAGAGTGGTATTCAGGTATTGGTTAGTGTGTTTCTTATTTGTTTCTAACTTTTTATTTTAAAATAATTACAGATTCATAGGAAATTGCAAAACTAGTACAGAAGGGTCCCATGCACCCTTTATGTAGCCAGTTGTCCCAATGGTAACATACAACATTCAAACAATACCAAAGTTAGGGGATTGACATTTAGATTTTATCAGTTTTACATGCATTCATTTGGGGGGGGGTGTAGTTCTATTCATTTTTATCACATGTAGATGTCTGTAACCACCACCATCAAGATACAAAACTACTCTATCAACACAACCATCCCTGGTGCCTTCCCTTTGTATCCATATTTGACCCTCTTCCCTCTCTTCCCCCTAACCCTTGGCAAGCATTAAATCTATTCTCCATCTCTATAAATTTGCCATTTTGAGAATGTGATATAAGTAGAATCCTACAGTGTGTGTGTGTGTGTGTGTGTGTGTGTGTGTGTGTGTGTGTGGCCTTTGGAGGCTTTTTTACTTGCCATAATGCTCTTGGTGTCCACCCAAGTTGCTTGCATCAGTAGTTTCTGTCTTTTGGTTTAACCATTCATGCACTGGAGGATATTTGGTTTGTCTCCATTTTTTGGCTATTTGAAATAAAGCTGCTGTGAATATCCATGTACATTTTCTGACATTTAAAATTTTTATGTTTGTGTTAAAATGCACATAACATAAAATGTACCATCTTAACCACTGTTAACTGTACAGGTTAGAGGCATTAAGAACATTCACATCATTGTACAACCGTCACCAATATCCATCTCCAGAACTCTTCCCATCTTGCGTAACTGAAACTCTGTGCCTGTTAAACAGCACCCCCCTCCCTTTGTTTTCTGTCCGGTCCTTGGCAACCATCATTCTACTTTCTATCTCTATGATTTTGATTACTCAAGGTTCCTTATATAAGAGGAATCATACAATTTTTGTCCTTTTGTGACTGGCTTATTTCACTTAGCATAATGTCCTCAAAGCATGTGTCAGAATTTTCTTCCCTTTTTAAGGCTGAATTATACTCCATTGTATGTACGTACACATTTTGTTTATCCATTCATCCGACAACAGACCTTTTGATAATGCTGCTGTGAACATGATGGGTAGAAATATCTTTTTGGCTCCCTGCTTTCAGTACTTTGGGGTGTAAACCCATGGTGTATGTATTTTGTATACGCATATGCTTTCATTTCTCTGGGGTGCATGCCAAGCAGTGAGACTGCTAGACTGTGTGGTAAGTGTGTGTTAAGTTTTTAAGAAACTGCCAAACTCTTTTCCAAATGGCCATACCATTTTATATTCCCACCAGCCATGTGTGAGAGATCTAGTCCCTGTGTATTCTCAGTAGCACTTGCTATTATCGCTTAAAAAAAATTTTTTTAGCTGTTCTAATAGTTGTGTGTAATATTTCATCATGGTTTCAATTTACCCTTCCATAATAGCTAATGATATTGAACTTCTTTTCATGTGCCTATTTGCCATCTGTATGCCCTCTTTGGTGAAATGGTTGCTTACTCTTTAGTTGGATTGTTTGGTTTCTTTTACCATTTTTTTGAGCATTCTTTATTTACTACAGATATGAGTATATTTTCAAACAGGTTGTTCATAGATATTTCTCCCAAGTTTGTTGCTTGTCTATTCTTTTAACAGGGTCTTTTCACCAAGCAAAAGTTTTTAATTTTGTTGAAGTCTAATTTATCAATATTTACTTTTATTGATAAAGTTTAGAAATACTATTGATTTTTGTATGTTGATCTGATTGTATACAGAAACTTTGCTGAACCCATTCTAGTAGGTTTTCAGTGTATTTTTTAGGACTTTTTATACAAATAGGATCATGTCATCTCTGAATAAAGATAGTTTTGTACTTTCAGGCAGCTAATTAACATCTTATGGTAACGTTACTCTCTCCCTCTCACATTTCTGCACATTGCTGCAACATCCTGAATCCTGCCACTCACCTGCTCTGAACAGGAGAACCTCACGATTGTCTTAGCACAGTTGGGAATTTTCTGTACCATGCTCAGATTTATTAGAGACTCCAATTAAAAACTCTGAACTAATATTTTTTGTTAATGAATTACACCTCAAAAATGAAACTGGAGGATATCAAGCAGGATATGCTATTACTAATTTACATTCTTCTTTTAGTATATAGTCCTCTGCATGAAGTAAAATCAGCCCAAGTGGTAGAACTTATTGTTCTTACTATATATGAGGTCTGTCCAGAAAGTATATAGCTATGTGCAGTGAAAAATAGAGACATTGCCCTGGCTGGTGTGGCTCAGTGGATTGAGCGCCAGCCTGCAAACTAAAGGATCACCAATTTGATTCCCAGTTAGGACACATGCCTGGGGTGCGGGCAGGTTCCCTAGGGGCGTGCAAGAGGCAACCACACATCCATGTTTCTCTCCATTTCTTTCTCCCTCCCTTCCCTTCTTTCTAAAAATAAATAAAATCCTTTTTAAAAAAGAAAAGAAAAATAGAGATGTTATTGAAGAAGATACAAGAAACATGATACACAGGATAATGACACCTCAAGTCCCCTTCAAAGTAGGCACCTTGGGACCCCACACAGTTCTCCCAGTTGCCATCAGCTGCCCCCTCATATTTTCCTGAATCTCATTGATGGTCTGAAATCTCTTCCTTTTCAAAGGTGATTTTAGTTTTGGCAAAAGCTGGAAGTTGCAGGGCAGCAAACCTGGGCTGTAGCGGGGCTGAGTCACCTGGGTGATTTAATGTTGCACCAAAAACTGCACGAGATACGTTGCATGAGCAGGAACATTGCCATGATGAAGCTGCCACTCACCAGTTGCCCATAGCTATGGCCTTCTGAATCATCCAAATGGTTTCCACAGAGGAGTGTTCAAGCTTAACACAAAATTTGATACAGATTCGTTGCTTTACTTGCTCAGTCATTTTAAATGTGACAGTCACACAGCACACATGCTCAACAGTGTCTACTGTCCCCACTGACTAGTACAGTGAAGTTGTCATTGCTCACGCATGAGCCTTACAGTCAACTCTCCTTGGCTGCCAGGTTACACTGATGTTGTGCAAACCATTCTCATTATAGTAACAATGGCTGGACTTTTTCTGGACAGACCTTGTATAGTTTGTCAAGTAACCAAATACCAGAGAATTGGCATATACACAGGTAACAAATGTACTTGAGATCAGTACATGAGTTTGAGATGCTCTCAAATAAGTTTTCCTAACCTCTGGTGGATCCCCACCCAAAATGGACTAAGGCTAAGGAATTCATAGATTTTCACCCCTACTTCCTAGAGAGGTGGCTAGTACAAGGGTAGAGGCTCATGCAAAAGAGATAAGATGGAAGTGAAAGGAAATGCCCTAGCAGATCATTATGCCAAGTAAGCAGCCTTAACCAGGGTGAGGTTCCTAACTCTAGGAATTCGAAGAGGCCATTACACGGTATCAGTGGTTAGCCCCTGATTCTGAAAAAAAATGTTAACAGTTGGACCCTTTTACTTGGGTCATCTTTTGTTCTCCCAAGATGGCCACTTGGTGGCGCCAGATGATTTCAAATGGATTATCAGCTAATTTCCTTGAAACTACCTATTGTGATACAAATTGGTTACCACCTTAAATTAACATTGGTAAATAAACTTTTAAGACATTTTTAACA